AATTACCGTACCAAATTTTCGGTTTGGTAAAATCTATTACCATTACCGTACCAAACTTTCGGTATACCGAAGTTTGGTATTGCCAAAAGTTTGGTTGGCATGGTATGACAATGGTAATTGCCATTTTGTTTTGGGACAAAATTTGTTTTTGTTTTTTTAACCCAATTCAAGGGCAAAACTTTTTTTTTGTACCTTTATCTCATACATTATAGATTAAATTCATCTATTATTCATCATTCACAATTCACACACATAATAATTCAAATGATGCATTAAGATTCATCATGAAAATTAAGCTTACAATCCAAATAAAACTTACGAACCAAAACAAATAGAAGTTAACAATCCAAATAGAAATTAAAGTTTCAAACCAAATGAAAATTGGAAGTAAACTTCAGAAGGGAGAATTCATTGATCAGTTATTCAAGCTTGAGATGTTGAAGCTTTTGGAGGAGGCATTGAACTTCTAGAAAATTGAATTTGTGTCAAGCCTACATTACAAACAAAGAAAACGTATTAATTAGTAGCTAAAAGAATTAAAGTTGAAAACCATTTAATAACAAATTTACTAAAAAAATTAAAGCATATCTTTCTTGTTTTCTCTTCTTCCATTTCCTTGTAAAATTGAAGCATATCTTCCGTTGGTTCCTTATAGAAGTTTACTTCGTCTGCCCTAAGCCAACCACTAGTACGCACTAGTGCCTCCATTATTTTAGGAGTCAAGGATACCCTAAAAGAGTTCACAACCCTCCTCCCTAAGCTAAATGCATTTTCACTAGCAACAATAGAAGTGGGGGTTACAAAGATATTTTGGCTATTTGTGAAAGAATTAGGAACTCTTTTGTGTTTGATTTCCACAATTTTAAGAGATCAAAGTCACCAACAACAATGCTAATATAAGTAGGGTTTTATTTTCAAATTATTGGAATATTATAAATATGTGTTATATAATTATCTATTATATAATTTATAAATTATAAATTATATTGTATTTTCAGTATGATACGGTAACACCATGGTAATAGTATCCATTACTAATACCATACCATGAAATTTCGATACGGTACAATACCGTACCATTACCGTTTAGTATAAAAAAATTGGCACAAAAACGGTATGGCACGGTTGACAATTCGGTTCGCAAGGCAATTTGGCAAAAAAAATCCACCCCTCCGACTACCCAAAAGAGTGCAACACCCAAGACGGCCGCGAAGTGATGTCATCATCGTCGACAACAAGCGTCCACGTCACGGCCCTGGACGGCCTGGTCAACGTGAACTCACTCTTCACCATCGCCGTCTTCGTGGGGCTTTCTCTGGCGACTCCGGGGCCACATCAATCTGAAGGTGTTGAGATTCGGGATGTTGGGGTAGGCTTTCGGGTCGGTCATGGGTTGCATGTTTCTGATGCTGTCGATGGTGAATGTGATCCAGATCAGGCTGGGGATGCTGTCGTATGGCAGCAAATCCGCTGTCCATGCTGTGGCGGCGCTTGTTGTTTTGGTCACGACGGCTCTTTTGGTTTATATTTCTACTGCTGTTTATGTTTTTCTTCACTAGCTGCTGTGCTGAAATTGTATATAATTTTGTCTCTGGATATTAGAATAATGGAATGTCAGTGGCGGTTTTCTCTGTAAATTGCACGGATTCTGTTGCTGAGAAGTTCTTTGTTTGAGATTTTAGGTGACCCTGTTTTGGTTGAGAGTGAAATCTTGAAAATATGGCAACTTGAGGGTGGTGAGGTCACCGGAGAATGAACCACGGTGGTGGAGGTCACGGTGATGGTCTCGGCGTCTCAACACCACGAGCACAGAGAAGGTGAGGGAGACAGAGGTTGAGGTAAGGGAGAGTAACAAGAAAGAGAGGAAGAGACGTGGTGGTTGGGGTGGTGCGTGGTGGGCGTCTCGCCGGAGTGGCGAGGGCATGCCGGTCTCGGTGCCAGAGTTTGCAGAGGAATAGAGCTGAGGGAATTGACAGGGAGATGGGGTGTCGACGTGTCGTGGCGGCACAAGAGAGGTGAGTGAAGAGAGGGAGCTGCGGAAATGTGCGGAGGAAATGGACACATGGCAGCAAGAGAGTGGTCCAAAAGTTTTAAAAATAAAAAAGAGAGTGTTAGGAAGAGAGAAGGGACACGGGACGGGCAGGAGTGGGGTGTGGGCCCACGTGACTCACAAAACAAGCCACAAAATATCTCTAAACATGAAATTACCAAATTGTCCTTCATATTCATAAATCTGTAAAATCTCCCTCGTAACTCTAAATTCGATTACGTGTTCATATCGTCGCGTACTACGCAATTACGCAAAAGAATGAGTCCTACATCTCTCTAAACGATGGTCAACGAAAGTCAAAAACCTTATCTTTAGGGGCATTTTCGTCAAATCATTTTTTTAAAATTAATAAAATAGTAAAATTAGGGATGGGTTGTCACAGTTCATGTTATAAAACATTTTGTAAAGGCCATCTCTTAAAAACATCAATTAAAATATAAGATCTTTTAATCATCTATAAAAACATATGAAATAATTTAGTAAAAGAATTACAAAACCATCTATCTAGCTACGATAATTAACTAGACGACTTTATTTTCTATTGATCGTTTTTTTCAGTTGACAACGGGGCATAATCCCACATTTTCTATAGATCGTTTTTTTTCAGTTCACAACGAGGCATAGTGCCAAAAGAAAATGATTTTCTATTGATCGTTTTTTTTCAGTTGACAACGGGGCATAATGGCAACAGAAAATGAAGATTACATAAGAATATAAGCCAACCTCGCTCAAGAGAAAATCGAAAATCCAATAACAAGAAGCAAAAGCATCTTCCTCTGTTCCCCTTCGCCTTCCCTCTCCTTTCCTTCCATCTTCTCAAGAAACAAACAGAAACCACTGCAAGCAACAACATTAGCAAGATAATAAAGAAATACATAAACCAAGCACCATTACAATCTCGACGCCATGGATGAGTACGGCATACAACCTCTCTCTATCAAGATTTTCAGCTTCAGAATTTGACATCTGAAAGTGAAAAATTATTCTTTTTGTGTCTTTTCTCTTGATTTCCAGATCAGACGACTACCCAAGGGAGTGCAACACCCGAGACTGCCGGGAAGTGATGTCATCATCGTCGACAACAAGCGTCCACGTCACGGCCCTGGACGGCCTGGTCAACGTGAACTCACTCTTCACCATCGCCGTCTTCGTGGGGCTTTCTCTGGCGACTCCAGGGCAGAGGAGCCTCGCAAACCGGAGATCCTGCGACGCCGGGAACGACGTGGCGAAGAAGCTGCTGGTGTTCGAGGTTGTCTCCTTCAGCTTCTTCCTGTTCTCATCGCTGGTGGCGCAGGGACTGAAGTTGGCGATCAACCTGCTCAACAGCAAGAATGTAGAGGACGCGTTCCGGGGTCACATCAATCTGAAGGTGTTGAGATTCGGGATGTTGGGGTCGGCTTTTGGGTCGGTCTTGGGTTGCGTGTTTCTGGTGCTGTCGATGGTGAATGTGATCCAGATCAGGCTGGGGCTGCTGTCGTGTGGCAGCAAATCCGCCATCCATGCTGTGGCGGTGCTTGTTGTTTTGGTCACGACGGCTCTTTTGGTTTATATTTCTACTGCTGTTTATGCTTTTCTTCACTAGCTGCTGAATCCACTTTTATATTTATCTAAGTTTCTCGTTCGATATCATGAAATTTGTATATATTTTGTCTCGGATATTGGAATAATGGAATGTCAGTGTGGCGGTATTCCCTATAATTGCACGGATTCTGTTGCTGAGAGGTTCTCCTTTGTTTGAGATTTTAGGTGACCCTGTTTTGGTTGAGAGTGAAATCTTTAAAATATGGCAACTTGGAATAGAATATGCTTCATTAGAGTACTTAGGTATTGTTGGTTGGACACTTGTAATGAGGGTTTATGGAAACTTACCTACATTGGAGATGACCTTGTGGTGATCTCACAGCCAGTCACACATGCGTTGTCATGTGGAGTAGGACACTCGGTCGCATTAATGTTTTAAGATATTGTCACGATAGCATCCCGTTGCAATATCCACTGATTCTGTCCAGTTGCTGCTGGTGTTGAATGTTTGATTAGATTATGATTGATTTCGATCACATTACAAACTTGGCTGAGAAAACAAAGCCGTCATTTCATCTGAACTAGTCGCTGATGCAAAATATGGTTGAATTGTGTACAACACCATCAGATGATGTTAGAGTACGGTTTTTGGTGTCAGTTGCTAATTGTTTTTGTTTGAACTAGGTTCTCACTGTCGGGACCTCGGGACCGGGCATTATGATTGGCTTGCTTATTCGTTGTATGCCGAATAGCATAACGGATGACATTTAGGAACCTCAACCGTGTCTACGAGCAATATTGGCCGGTGCGCTGCACATGACAACCCCCAAGAAGTCATATGCCCGCCCCCTAACCTCCAACGGGTGCCGAGAAGAAGCTTGTTTAGTGCGCCAAGGGTGCGAGCACCGGGGACGATTGGGAGCTTGTTTAGCCGTAATAAATCTATATGAACTCGGATTGACATGTTCATCAGTTGCGTTGGACTCGTTTCAACCTCCCGATATGGTCTTGCGTTTGAGACCCTTGTTTTTCGTTTGTTGAACATTTCTACCCGAATCGGACTTGTGCTTGACTTGGGACTGGAGTTTCCACAAACAACTAGAGAAGGGAAATTATCATCTCATTTTGAATTTTATTTTCAGGTCTCTTGATTTATAATAATAATAATAATAATAAATAACCAAGAATGTTGGAGATAAAATAGATTAGAAAGAGATAAGAGAGAGACGAGATAGATTGGGAGGCGAAATAAGGGAAGTGAATTTCATATCTCATTGTCTCCTTCTGCGCTCCTCCCTTTGTTTGTGTCCTTGATTTACTCTGAATCGTATGGCTAGAAAAAGAGGGAGGAGCGAGATAACAGGAGTGTCAAAAATCACTTCGCTAAATTAAAATGAAACTGAAAAAAAATAATAGAGTACACAAAAGATTATGGAGTTAGAAGAACTTACTACTTATACGTATGCTATTTGTACAACCTAATAAGGGTAAATCAACCGGAAAAAAAAAAAAACAAAACAAAACAAAAAACAAAGAACAAAAACTACAGGATAATTTAATTTCTGCTCAACCGAAAACTGAGATCTTCAGTTTTTCTTTTAACAAGACGATAATCTAAACTACTCTTATCTAATCTATGGGGAGGGGCTTTGAACTCAAATGCAAGAGGCAGACACATTGCCTTGACCAACTGACCAGACTCACATTTGCAAATTAAGTCTTGAATACAGGGAATAGCGTATGAAAGGAGCTGAAACAATCAAGCAGCCTTTTAACCGTTTCAAGGTGCTACCCTCTTTGATTCAATTTCTTTTACGCTCTGGACTATAGCGTCAATGTTTCTCGACAAGTGATTGGAATGTTCTTCCATCTGCCTCAAAACCATATCAAGCTGTTCTTGATAGTTGGCAGACCTCTTTCGCTCACGTTGCAACTCAGCAGTCAACTCCCGAATTTTCAGATCTTTTTCGTCCTGGAACAAACCAAAAAGCAAATCAATAGTAAATATTGATTGCTATGGGAAATATTATGGTAGCATAATGCAAAGAACTCTTCCCCTGCCCTCACAAACATGCGTCGGGTATCTGCTAGATGGCTTTAACAAGCCCTGATCAAATATGTAAAACGTTACTGTAACCACTGTATATTAGAGCACAAACCCTACATGTAAAACGTTTACTGTAACCACGATAAAGTTATAAACTAAAAGCACAATACCAAAAGAAACTATTATTACTCAAACTGAACAGAAACGAGACACCTATTACATCTCACAAAACGGCCAGAGAAGCAATTACTTATAGCATGCAAGGGGACTTGTCCAAATTCTAAGAACAGTTACTACCAAAAGAAACCATTAAAACGTCTTTATTTAATTATTTTATTACTTCTTGAGTAAGTTTATAAAGCTAAGGACCCATTTGATAAACATTTTGGTTTAGCTTTTAGTTCTTATTTTTTTGTGCTAGAGACCGGGGGAAAGTATATTGGATGAAATAAGGAATGGAGAAGGATAAAGGGAGGCGGTGTGAGGGAGGAGGGAGAAATGTAGATCATATGAAAACAAAAACGTTAAAGTGACATCAACTCAAAATTGTTTTTAGTTTTCATTTTTGTCATTCCTTTCCATTCCTTTCCTTTCCTCCACCCTCCTTCCTTCACCCTTCTTTATCTCTCCTTCCCTTTCTCCCACAAGTACTTCTCCACCATATATAGCACAAAAAATTAAAACTAAAAACGAAATGGTTATCAAACAGGTCCTGAGTTTTAGATTGAACGTCAAAACTGGTTTTAACAATTTGGAGGTGACAAAATATGGGTTGCCTAGTACGCCGTTGAGAAATATATGAACTACATTCTTCAAACAAGGAAAACCAAAAGAACGACATCAGGGAACCTTTTCAATCAAGGGGCATCTGCTAACTTCATCCAATTTAACTTTCCAGCTTGAAAAAGCTCCAAATCACTTGCAGGCAACAGAGACTAGACCATCTGATGCAATGTCAAATATCCAACGGACAGAAACTAGATAATCGACTAACTTAACCAACACAAGTAAACAAAATAAACCGCTATTTTAACAGAAATCGCAATGCATCTGTCTTACAAAATAAACCTATAAGCGAGCAACTCAAAAATGCAGATAAGAAGCACTCACTGGTGTTTGAGACAGAAGCATACTGCGGCGACCATTTGCAGGTGTACCTACTAGTGGATGGTTATGCTCCTTTATAAATCGTGTTACGATCCATTTTCCTGATTTGTCTTTCTTTACCACAAGCATCGCTTTGCACCCTTCTCTGGTGATTGCTCGAGGCTTCCTGTTCTCAGTTCTTTTGGCTCGGGTCTTGCGAAATCCCTCTTTGTTACACACAAGCCTCCGCCAAACTACCTTACCATCACGCATTGATCTCCGGAAGGCATCGACTCGCATAATGAAGCCCACTTGTGTTGCATATCCATCGTAGAACACTTTGGCAGCCTCTTCAGATTCAAACTCCATACCCACAAATGGTTCTGTATCCGAGTTCCCCTCATATGTGACTGCCTCTTTCCTATTGGAACTCTCTAACACGTCCTCATCCTTGCTCATAGAAGGTTCTTCATCATCCACTGCCCAAATAAGCATTGTGATAAGATTCCATCTAAGGTTCTACCTTCCAAAATTCAAGCAAAATAATAATTTTGCGAAGAAAAAATGCGATTTTTTATACCAAACTAGTTTTCGATTACCTAATGAATTGTGCAAAGTCTCACATCATAGTGTAACCAAATAAAACCCTACTAGAATATTTTACCAATGTAATGATTCTGATCACACACGCAGAATAACACATCTATATCTCAACTATCCACTGGAAAACATAACCTGGGTTATGTTTGGCTGCCGAGAAAACACAAGAAAATACCAACAACAGACTGGAAAACTGAGAACAACCCAAGATTGGGGTTACTGAATTCTAAGTTACCCAACTCTTATAGTTGTCTACTTTTTCTCAGCATCCAAACAGATAAAGGAAATTCCAAAAACAACAAACAACACAATCGAAGGTTTAACGTGAGTGCAGATTAAGGAATGATTAGGAAATTAAAGAGTGAAAATGCAAAGATAAAATGATTAACTCACTTGCTGTGACAGAGAGATCGCGACCCAACAGTTTGCTTGGCTTCTGCAATAGAGAGGAAGCAGAAAGTTCGTTCCTTTTTGGTTCTTCTGGTTTTGGGGAGGTGGCGGGCGGTTGAAGCGTTTGAGCTCGAACTCCAGGGTGTTGGCAGATGAATGATCCACTGCGGCGAAGAAATGCATCTTCCTCTACGGATTCCTTTTTTTTATATTTTTGAATTTTTTTTGGAAATTTTGTAAAAGGTCGTATGGACTTATATATTCGCTAGTGTTGTAAATAATGAGTATGTTTGTCCACATGTGTATAGTAATGTGTATAGTGAAGTATAACATGTGTATACTATATACTCATAAGCTAAATAGTAATGTTTTGTAATTTTCCATTGAAGTAGCTCTATAAATAGAGCACTTCAATTGTGCAAAGAAAAGTAAATGAGAAGAAGAAAGAAAAGAGAAATATATCTAATAGCCATAATATACATTACTTCATCTGCAACAGCTTGTGTCGGTATATTACTCTGCAACTGCTTCGTTCCTTCACCGAGTAAAGGTTATCTCTCTATAAATTTTGCCTATTTATAACACGTTATCAGCACGAGTCTCTAAGTATAACCATGTCTCATTTACATTCACTAAACAATAAAGGAAATCATTCTCTCATTTCTCTCCGCCGAACGAAAAAAAAAAAAAAAAGTTTCCTCTAAGGTTTTTCCTGTTCATCTTCTTCATCTGCCTCAACTGCGCGGTATATCCTCGCGACGAACTATTTGCTCCATGCCTGCTCGTAGTTCTCCAACTAGTGGTTACATACATCTTTGATTACTTGTTTGGTTTGGATATTGATTACTAACATAGTATTTATATTGATTTTACTGCAATCCAAGATGGTGCGGTACAATCGCCCATCTTGAACTGCAAATTTCATCTTACTGCGATCCAAGATGGTGCGGTACAATCGCACATCTTGAACTGCAAATTTCATCTTACTGCGATCCAAGATGGTGCGGTATCATCGCCTATCTTGGACTGCAGATCTACTTTTACTGCAAATTTCAGGTGGAGCGGTATAATCGCCCTCCTTGCTCTCCAAATTTAAATTTACTTGTTATTTAATTTCATTGCAATTTTAGGTGGTGCGGTATAATCGCCCTCCTTGCTCTCCAAATTTAAATTTACCTGTTATTTAATTTCATTGCAATTTTAGGTGGTGCGGTATAATCGCCCTCCTTGCTCTCCAAATTTAAATTTACCTGTTGTTTAATTTCATTGCAATTTTAGGTGGTGCGGTATAATCGCCCACCCTGCTCTGCGTATTTCAATTTTCTTGTTACTTGAGTGGTGCGGACTAATCGCCCATTCCATGTTACATTCTTTCAATGAGAATGGTGCGGTACAATCGTCCTTCTCATTCACCCTGCAAATCTCGAGCCAGAAGTTTCGAGTGCTTATCATTTTGGCCTAAAGATCAAAATGAAAAATTTGTAAGAACCAGAAGTTCTAACATCACATTCCTCTAGGAATACATATTACTGCAAGTTCTTACACATCTCATTTTCTTTCAGAAAAGAAAATGACGAACTTGGCTAAGCTTGAATATGCTGCCCTGGACATTACCGGGAAGAATTACCTTACTTGGGTACTTGATACCAAGATCCATCTGGAAGCAGGGAATCTTGGAGATACCATCAAGGAAGAAAGCAGCTCATCTTCTCAAAATCGGGCGAAGGCTATGATCTTTATTCGCCGCCATCTTGATGAGGCACTAAAGAGTGAGTACTTAACGGTTGAAGATCCGTTAGCTCTCTGGGAGGCCTTGCGAAGCAGATACAATCACCAGACAACGGTGATTCTTCCAAAAGCTCGCTATGAGTGATCTCACCTGAGAATTCAGGATTTCAAATCAGTAGCGAAGTACAATTCTGCGTTGTTCAGGATTACCTCTCAGATGAAGCTCTGTGGGGATACCATTACTGATGAAATATTGCTGGAAAAGACTTACAACACATTTCATGCCAATAACGTGCTCCTGCAGCAGCAGTATAGAGCGCGAGGCTACACTGAATACAACCAGCTGATATCTGTGCTCCTGGTAGCTGAACAGAACAATGAGCTCCTGATGAAAAACCATAATTCCCGACCTACTGGATCTGCACCATTCCCAGAAGTAAATGCTACTTCCCTCGAAGTGAACGCCATATCCTCTGGTGGTAATTATCATAAACAAGGACGTGGCCACAAACGAGGTCGATGGAATAGGAAAGGCAAGAACCATGGTGGTCAGTTTCACAACCAGGTTCAGAGGCATAATTCTGGCCCGAGCTTTAAAAATGTGAATCGTCACAAAGGCAAAGCTAACATGACCAATGCTCCCAGGAACTCTGAAGGAGCCTGCCATAGGTGTGGTGGCAATGGGCATTGGGTGCAAACTTGTCGTACCCCAAAACATCTGGTGGAGTTGTATCAAGCCTCCCTCAAGAAGAAGGGTGTCGAGACCAATTTTCTCGACCAGACTAAACCAATGGATATACCTGATCCAGTGTTTGATTTATCAGGGCAATTTGACGCAACTCACCTAGATGTTTCAGACTTCATTATGGAAAGGGGGAATGAAGTATATCGGTCCGACTAAATCATTTATGTTTGATGTACTTTTATTATGCTGAACTTGTTGTCTAAAACTAGTTTTTCAAATTCAATAAAAATGGCATGTAAATTTCCTGTTATAAATTGTTTGTTAACTGTGATTCCATTTACTCAAAAAGTATGGATAAAAACTGTGGTTATTCTCAGAACATGAGAAATGACGGAGATATTTGTCTTGCAGACAGTGCAACCACACATACAATACTTCGTGATCGAAAGTATTTCTCAAGCTTAATGCTTACAAAAATAGGGGTAACAACAATATCAGGACCTTCATATGTGATTGAAGGCTCAGGGAAAGCCCAGATTATGTTACCAAATGGAACAATATTGTCCATACAAAATGCATTGTATGCTACTCGATCTACTCGAAATTTGTTGAGTTTCAAAGACATACGTCTAAATGGATACCACATTGAAACGAAAAGTGCAAAAAATGTGGAGTATCTATGCATTACCTCCAATGATACCCAGAAGCGTATATTGGAAAAGTTGCGTGGTTTTTCGAGTGGATTATATTATACATACATAAGGACAGTTGAATCACATACTATCATGAACCAGAAGTTCATTGATTCAAAGGTTTACATGCTTTGGCATGACCGTCTGGGTCATCTAGGATCTACCATGATGCGTAGGATCATTACCAACTCTAATGGACATCCATTATTGAGCAGAGACATTGCTATCTCAAATGATAACCCTTGCAAGGCTTGTTCCCAAGGGAAGTTGGTAATTAGACCATCACAACTAAAGGTTGATGCTGAATCCCCATCATTTCTACAAAGAATTCAAGGGGATATCTGTGGACCTATTCAACCATCTTGTGGACCATTTCGATATTTTATGGTTTTGGTTGATGCATCAACCAGATGGTCACATGTTTGTCTCTTGTCTACTCGGAATGTAGCTTTTGCGAGACTTCTTGCTCAGATAACTAAGTTATGAGCACAATTTCCAGATTATCCCATTAAATCAATCCGACTTGATAACGCTGGTGAATTTACGTCTCAAACCTTTGATGATTACTGCATGACATTGGGCATTGATGTTGAACACCCTGTTCCTCATGTCCATACTCAAAATGGTTTAGCAGAAGCATTGATCAAGCGGCTTCAGTTAATAGCCGGCACTCTGCTTATGAAAACCAAATTGCCAGTTTCTGCATGGGGACATGCCATTCTACATGCTGCATCATTGGTTCGATTGAGACCTATAGCCAACCACCAATACTCCTCAATACAACTCGTGTTTGGACATCAGCCAAACATTTCACATTTACGAGTTTTTGGTTGTGCTGTTTATGTGCCTATTGCACCTCTGCAACGCACTAAAATGGGACCTCAGCGTAGACTGGGAATTTATGTGGGTTTTGATTCACCATCTATTATTAGATATTTGGAACCCTTGACAGGTGATATGTTTACAGCTCGTTTTGCTGATTGTCATTTTGATGAGACAGTTTTCCCGTCGTTAGGGGGAGAAAAGACCGTTCCAGAAGAACGACAAGAGCTAACATGGGTTGTTCCCACCTTATCTCATTTTGATCCTCGAACCCTTCAATGTGAAAATGAAGTGAAAAGGATCGTTCATCTTCAAAGCATTGCCAATCAAATGCCAGATGCATTTAATGACGCTATGAAAATGACAAAATCGCATATACCAGCTGCAAATGCACCTGCCAGAATTGATGTCCCTGTTGGACAAAATAAAGTGGCAGCGAATGATTCATCTGGTGCACGCCTGAAGCGTGGTAGACCACCAGGTTCAAAAGATTCAGCCCCTCGGAAGAGAAAGACGAGGGCACAACTGAATCCAAATGAAATCATTCAGGAAGAGAGAGTAAATGACAAATCCACAATTCATGACTCTGGACTTCCAGAAGAAGAAAATAGCCCTGAAGAGACAGAAGTACATGAAAGCAAAGAAATCTCCATAAACTATGCATGTACTAATGAATTGTGGGATCAGAATGAAATAATCATTGACGATATGTTTGCATTCGCAGTAGCCACTGAAATCATATTAAGTGATGATATTGAGCCCCGCTCTGTTGATGAATGCAAACAGAGACAAGATTGGCCTAAGTGGAAAGATGCAATCCAGGCAGAATTAAATTCCTTAGAAAGGCGAAGTGTTTTTGGACCAGTAGTCTAAACCCCAACTGATGTAAACCCCGTAGGTTACAAATGGGTGTTTACAAGGAAACGCAATGAGAAAAACGAGATTGCTAGATACAAAGCACGACTCGTTGCACAAGGTTTTTCACAAAGACCTGGAATTGATTATGAGGAGACATACTCTCCTATAATGGACACAATTACGTTCCGTTACTTAATAAGTTTGGTGATTTCAGAAAAACTTGACATGCGACTTATGGATGTCATCACCGCGTATCTATATGGAGAATTAGATACTGACATATATATGAAAGTCCCAGAAGGACTTAAGTTGCCTGAAGCAACAAACAAACCACGGGGTATGTTCTCAATCAAATTAAGGCGATCACTATATGGGCTGAAACAATCTGGGTGAATGTGGTATAATCGTCTCAGTGAGTATTTGATTAAAGAAGGATATGCCAACAATGTC